GTCAGCTCTCAGGGGCTGCCTTGTGCTTGTGCTGCGGACACGAGGTGGAGCCTTGGGCTCAGCCTGCACTTGTGTCAGCTCAGATGTGGCCCTCGATAGGGCACCCACCACCATGGGTGCACTCGTCACACCTCATCGTGTAGTGATGAGGGTACTCGGTGAGGACAGAGGATGTTTCTGAGCTGTTCTGGGCAAGGATGTAGAGCCTCAGCATGAGGAACCACATGGCCCCCAACCTCACAGCTGGACCCCCACTTGATGGCTCTGTGTTCCAGGACAGGGACTTCAGGAAACTGCCATGGATGGAGGCGTGGTCAGCCAACACTCAGAAGACCACGGATGGAGGCGTGGTCAGCCAACGCCTAGAAGACCATGGATGGAGGCGTGGTCAGCCAACGCCTAGAAGACCACGGATGGAGGCCGGGTCAGACAACACCGGGAAGACCACGGATGGAGGCGTGGTCAGCCAACACATGGAAGACCACGGATGGAGGCCGGGTCAGACAACACCGGGAAGACCACGGATGGAGGCCGGGTCAGACAACGCCTAGAAGACCATGGATGGAGGCGTGGTCAGCCAACACTCAGAAGACCACGGATGGAGATGTGGTCAGCCAACACCTGGAAGACCACGGATGGAGGCGTGGTCAGCCAACGCCTAGAAGACCACGGATGGAGGCGTGGTCAGCCAACACTCAGAAGACCACGGATGGAGATGTGGTCAGCCAACACCTGGAAGACCACGGATGGAGGCGTGGTCAGCCAACGCCTAGAAGACCACGGATGGAGGCGTGGTCAGCCAACGCCTAGAAGACCACGGATGGAGATGTGGTCAGCCAACGCCTAGAAGACCACGGATGGAGATGTGGTCAGCCAACACCTGGAAGACCACGGATGGAGGCGTGGTCAGCCAACGCCTAGAAGACCACGGATGGAGGCGTGGTCAGACAACACCGGGAAGACCACCATCCTGTGTGTTGTGGCACAGCCGGCTGGCGACCATGTTCACACCACTGCAGCACAGCATGGCAACTTGTTGCTGCTTCCGACATGAGGCACCAGAACCCTGGGTACAACGCTGTGGGGAGGGGGCCAGGCAGGGTAACCAGGCTGCCAGGGCTCGGGAGGGAAGGGAGGAGAGGAGAGGAGAGCTCAGGGTTGACTGGAAGACTCTCCCTTGCCGTGTCTCCTCCCTGCTGTCCACCGGTGCACAAGGTGTCTGTGTGGTCCACAGTGCCCTGGAGCATGTTTGTGTAACAAGGCCCCCCTTACAGGGAAGAAGTGGGGGGACACCCAGTGTGGGGAGCAAGGAAGAAGGCAGAGGAGGGCAGGGCACAGATTGTGTCAGGCCATGGCCCCTGCAGAAGGGCACCAGCTGTCCGTCCGCAGGTGCTGGCAGGGGCAGCTGATAAAGACAACTTTATGCGTCCACAGAGCCACCCGTGTGGAGGACAGCAGAGTCCCCAGCTGTGTAGGTACACAACTGTGGGTGAGGGTGTCTACAAGGGTGAACCTGTGTACCTGCAGACAGAGCGGCTTCCCCGGCCATGCCTGGGCTGTGTCCAGTTGATGCAGCAATGGAGTGAGAAGGTTTTATCTGCATATGAACTGAATGGAGGAAGAGACAGGAGGGATAAGGGGAGGCTGTGTGTGTGTGTGTGTTCTACCCTACAGCACAGTGTGTGTGTGCTGCACCCTACAGCACAGTGTGTGTGTGTGCTGCACCCTACAGCACAGTGTGTGTGTGTGTGTGTGTGTGTGAGCTGCACCCGACAGCACCGTGTGTGTGTGTGCTCCACCCTACAGCACAGTGTGTGTGTGTGTGCTGCTCCCTACAGCACAGTGTGTGTGTGCTGTACCCTACAGCACAGTGTGTGTGTGTGCTGTACCCTACAGCAAAGTGTGTGTGTGCTGTACCCTACAGCACAGTGTGTGTGTGTGTGCTGCTCCCTACAGCACAGTGTGTGTGTGCTGCTCCCTACAGCACCGTGTGTGTGTGTGTTCTCCACCCTACAGCACCGTGTGTGTGTGTGCTGCTCCCTACAGCACCGTGTGTGTGTGTGCTGCTCCCGACAGCACAGTGTGTGTGTGTGCGCATTTGTGTGTGTGTTGCTCCCTACAGCACCGTGTGTGTGTGTGCTGCTCCCTACAGCACCGTGTGTGTGTGTGTGCGCATTTGTGTGTGTGCTGCTCCCGACAGCACCGTGTGTGTGTGTGCATTTGTGTGTGTACCTGAGCTCTTATCCCACATGTACACGCTCATTGCTCATCACCTCTGCTTGCTCCTGCCCAGCCTGGGTGAATTTTTCTCCTTCCATCATTATAACCTCTGGGTTTTCTCCTTTGCTCTCCGTGCAGGTTGCATCCACCCTCGTTCCGGAAGGGTTAACAGACAGTGTGCAGACCACCCAGGAACACCCTCCTGCTAAGGATGCCCAGAACGATGGTGTTTCTTGGGGGAGCAGACCCCTGTCCCCACGTCACTGCAGAGCACAGATGAACAGACTTGCACTGTGTCCGTGCGTCACAGGGGATGTTGGTGCCTGTCCTGACCTGGTTGCTCACTGGACAGGCTCCACAGGGACACACAGGGCTGCTGGGCCAGGGCCCTGATGACTCTGCCTGACCTGGGATTTCGGCTTACCTGAGCTCTTTGCTTGGCTCCCAGGGTCCTGGAATTGCACAGCTGGGCTGCAAAGCTGGGTCCTGTGCATGGATTGGTCATGCATAGCTTGTCCAAGCGACAGGCCACAAGGAGCTGAGGTGTTGCACAGGATGAAGAGCCCCCAGGAGCTCCCAGGAGCCTGCTCTTGCCCGCCCAACCAAGTCCCAGAATGCACATGTGTAGGACTGGAACCACGAAAAGGTTATGCCAGTGCAGGTAGCGGCTGGGGCGTGGTAGGTGGTGTTCTGGGTGTGCAGCATGCTCTGGGTCCTCTTCTCTGACTCCGTCCCTGGATGCTCAGGATGTTGCAGTCAGCCTCTTAGCATAGGAGCCCTTGGCTCTGCCCACTCTATGTACACTTTGCAAAGCCGTTGTAAATGAGCCCGTGTGCATGGAGATGCCCAGTACACCTGCGGCGTCCCCACAAGTTGGGGTCTGTGCCCTGTGCTCGTAGGAGCTGAAACTGGAGAACAGGGCTAGTCTCCTCACGTCTGGACTGGCCGAGGCAGTTTGGTGTCCGCGTGGGCCTCGCGTAGTGCTGAGTGGCCCCTCCGCGGGTCATGGCTTTGGCGAGGCAGAGGACTCAGAGACAGGGTCTTTCCTGGTGTTTTTAATCAGGGGGCTGCTTTGCTCCCTAAGAATGGAACCTCATTACCTTTCAACATTCCGCCTGTCGGATCTCCGAGGAAGGAGGGCTTGGCACGCCATCTGCTCGAGCACTTCCAGATTGCGGAGGGCCTCGAAGGCGCCAGCACGGCCTCAGCTGTCAGAGGTTTTGGACAAGTGCGCCTTGTGGATGTTTCTGGAATCCTCGGAGGATCCTGGAGCTGATCCGTGAGGAGAGTGTCGAGAGGCTCGCCTGCATGGCCAAGCAATGTTCTCCTGCCACGCACGTCTCCGGAGGACTAGCTGGGGTGCAGGCTTCGCCATCTGGCCGATGTCTCCCGGGCTGGGGTGTGGGGGCCCCTGGCTGAGTCATTGGCCTCGTCTGCCTTCCTTCCCCATCTGTGAAATGGGAATAATTAACATTCCTGTCCACTTGCAGGGATGAAGTGAATCCAGGCGCATGCACATCTCCCAGAGAGGGCGCTGTGCAAGCCACATGACCTGGAAGGCCCTCCACCCACTGGGTACGCGCAAGGCCCAGGCTCTGCTCTCCGTCCACTGGGTACACGGCAGGGACCCAGGCTCTGTCTCCACACGCGTGGGCCTAGGAAGCAGCTGCAGGGCTCGCAGCCCGCCTAGCTGCTTCTGCTTCTCTCCTCAGCCACACGCAGCTGCTCGGCTGCCCTGGCCTGGAGCAGTCCCCTGTGGGCCTCTGACCTGGCTACGCCAGCATCTTCGGGCCTGGAGGTGGAGGCCCAGTTCCCCTCTGCACACCCCAGGCCCAGCCTTCTCCTGGGCCTCTGTGTAGCTGGAGCTGCAGCTGGGACCCTGGTGGCGGTTCCCAGAACTTGCAGTGTAGCCCCCTGCCTGAGCTGGCAGCCAACTCCCATGTGGGTTCTGAGGTGCTTGGACCACAAGTCATTGCTCTGGGCTGTCTCCTCAGCATCTCAGAGCCACCTTTGGCTGTGTGTGTCCCCCGAGTCTGGGTGTGCAGAGTGCCTGAGGTGGCCCCACGAGGCCACTGCTCTGTGCTGGCACCTGAGCGCTGGGGCATCCCCCACAGGTCCACCAGCCAGGGCTGCTGGGGACCCCACAGCTGCAGAGCGCTAAAAACTGGCAGGGTGGAGTTGGCTGTCCCGCACCAGGCCCTGCAGTGCCTGAGAGCGAGCCAGCCTGGCAATCCGGTAGTCCCATAGGCAGCTTGCCCCCTCCCCCGCCCCATCCTGCTGGCGGTCTTAGAGTCCCTGGCTCTGGGAAGGGACTGCACCTTCAGCCTGGTGGACGAGTCTGCTGGGCACGTCTTGGGCCACCGGCTGGGGACGGGAGGAGCCGGGGGCGCGCCCACAGCGCCAACTGGCTACCACACAAGCCGCTCAGGGGTCCCGCCCGCCCTCCCTTCTCAGCACAGCCCCTGGGCCCCAGCGGGCGTCGGAGCCCAGGGGCGCGGCGGCGGAGGCTGGGGGAGGTGGGGCCGGGGGCGGAGAGGGGCAGAGCAGGAGGCGGAGGCGGGGGAGGATCCCAGAGGCTCGGGGTATTTGACAGCGCGAGGGAAGCCTCGGCGTCCGCCTGCAGCCCGCCGGCCACGTCCGGACCCCTGGAGCAGGAGGGGATCGCGCAGGGCAGCCGCTCCACCAGGCTCAGCAGGGCCGCTGCTCCAGGGCGCTGCCTCTACTCTGCCTGTGGCCCGGGCGCTCTGAGTCCTCCGGGTACCCTCTCTGTGCCGGTCACCATGCTGCTGCCCCAGCTCTGCTGGCTGCCGCTGCTCGCCGGGCTGCTCCCGCCGGCGTCCGCGCAGAAGTTCTCCGCGCTCACGGTAAGCCCGGCCTGCCGGGGAGGACCTGGAGATGCGACCGAGTTGGGGCCCCGCTGCCCTCCTTGCCCAAGTACCGCCAAGGCGCGGGGAGCAGGTGGCCAGCGGTACCAGGCCAGGTGGGTCCTGGCGCTGATCCGTGGCGTGCGCGCCTGGGGCTGAATGTCCTGGCCGCGCGGTCCCAGGCGGTCAGGCTAGGAGTTTGAGCTCGCCCGCGCCAGTGCGGTTTGGGGCCCGCGCGAGAACGCGAAGGTGTGTGAAAACCGCTGGGCTGCGTGGAAGGCCCCGGGCTGCCTCTCGGGCCAGCGCGTGCCCGTTGCCTCCGCTGGACGCTAACAGGGACTCTGCAAAGTGGGCGGGCAGACGAGGATCTGCAAAACCGCTGATATAAGTCCTTTAACCCCCTTGCCTGGGCATTGGCGGGGAGCTGGCATGGGCTCTGCTTTCTTCTCCCCGGCACCTCGGCCCTCCTGCCTGCCAGGTGGCCTGGAGGCGCCCACCCGGATCGCCACTGCGTGTTTCTTTTACCCGGGACAACCTGTGCACCAGAGCGCTGGCGGGGGCCAGGCGCACAATGCCAGACCCAGAGCAGGTCTGGGGCAGGCTGAGTGCAGCAAGGGTGGTGGCTGAACCGGGACTGGTGCCTGCACCCCGCGGTCCTGGGAGCCCACAATGACCGCCGTCAGAAGTGTGTGCCTTGACCGACGCAGGGGCAAGCACCGAGGAGGGGGTGCTAACCACATCCACTGTCTGGGCTCCTCAGGCAGCTGTGGCGATTGCCAAGGGAAGGAGGCGAGCTCGCCTCTCATACCTGAAATTCTTCCTGAGCAGTGGAGGTCCCTGCCCTGTGTCTCACAGAGGACCCGAGATTAGCAGCGGTTGGTGGAAGCTGGCGAAAGTTTCCACACACCCAGGCCTCGCTGGTGGGCCCTCTGGGCGCCTTCACTGCAGGCGTGTGCACACAACTTTAGGGGAAGACTGACGCACACATGCGTGCGCTCACACCCGAGGGTACCTGTCAGGATTTGTGGAAATGCACTTGATGATCTGTGGGTGCTGGGGCTTGGGTCACTGGCAGCGTGTGCAAGGGCAGCACCCGCCCACCCCGGTGAAAGTAGGACATTATATGCCCCCCAGTGAGAGCGTGCTTAGTGCTGGCAGACACCTGCAGGCTGTGTGGGAGATGCCTGCTGGGGCTGGCCCGGTGAGGCTGGGGGTCAGCCTGGGGAAGGGAGTTCCTCTGCCTTTGGCAGTGAACTTCATCCTGGGCCCTTGGCCTTCTGGAGGCAGCTCCCGGGACTTCCTGGGCTGTAGTGCTGCCAGGGGCCCTGGAGCGGCGTGGGCGGGGGCGTCCCCCTGTGGTAGCTCTCTCACAGCCTGGGACAAGGCCCTGTGTGCAGGACTCTCAGGACCTGTTGTTTTAAAGGCATATTTGCAGGAGAACCACGGGCACCCGCTCCTTCCTACACGGCCCCTGGCAGCCAAGGGCAGGAGGCTGGAACGGGAGGCGGCTTGGGCAAGTAGCAGGTGTGTTTTGGACGTGCCCGTGCCGCTGGTCTCTGCCCAGTTGCCTTTCGGTGTGGGAGAGGCAGCTGTGGGGCCTGGAGGCTCCACTCGAAGCACGGCCGCCTGGCCTGTGAAGCTCGTGCAGGAAGCAGGACAGGGCTGGGGCAACGGGCGGGGCTGGCGCCTCGTGCCTTGCTGGGCGCTGGGATCTGCTTAGCACGTCGGGGTTGAAGACGAGACTTTGTTCCGCTGGCATTCTCTGTGAGCCTGTGCCAGGGCTGCAAACGCCAGGGCTGCTGATGCATGCTGGGTTGTAGGCACCCCAAGAGCCCTTGGCCGACCCCTGGGTGCAGCTGGGTGGGCTGTGCTGGGGCCCCTGCCTCGCTCTTCCCTGAAGAGGTTGGTGTGTTCCTATGCCAGCCAATGTTCTTGCTTCTGGCCATCTGCAAGTGCACGGGACCACGGAGCCATCTGCCTTCCTCCTTTCCCAGCAGTGCTTGCTGTCTCACGCACAGGAAGTTCGCCCTTCCCTGTGGGATGCTGGCTTCTTGGAACCATGTGGTCGGTTCTTTGGCCTTCCCCCATGGGTTCCTGTGGGCGTCTGGTACACCATGTCCAGCAAGGGGACTCTGCCTTTCTGAGTGGGTGTGTCCCTCCACCACAGTCACCAGCTGGAAAAGAGAAGCTCTGGGCACCTGGGCTCGTGGCTTGCTGGGTGGGGGTGTCTGTGCCGCTTGTGTCACGGAGCTGTGGTGCCAGCTGCAGTTGGCACGTGGCACCCTTCCGTGCCTGATGCGCGTTGCTTTGTGCCTGGGTCCATGTCCTCTTGAAGGAGCAGCAATGCCCCAGGCCGACCCCGCCTGCGGCTCCTTCCGGCCTCAGTCTTGTGGCAGGTGTAGTTGTGTGGCCTTGGATGGCCTGACCGATCTCGATCCCTAGCCAGCGTCTTCTTTGGGGGCCGTGAGGGAGCGTGCGCCGGGGCCGCTGGAGTGGGCCCCACCCTCCTGACATGGCTAGCTTGAGCTCACACCCAGGGCAGCCCTTGCTGCCTCTGCGGCCCAGATGGAGGGTGCGGCAGCTGCCAGGGTTTCTGCCAGCCTCCAGGGACCCTGAGCAGGGGAGGGGCCATCACAGCCCAACTTTCCTCTCGTCCCCCAGCATCTTCTCCATCTCTGTGTCGGCTTGGAGCCGTCACCTCCTTGCCCAGGGGCTGGGGTGGAGCCAAGTCCCATTGGGGGAGCTGGTGGCCGCTGAGTTGCGCCTGTTGCTTCTCAGCCCTGTTTGTATTTGTTCACCTGGGATGGGTGGAAAGAGGGTGGTGGGAGGCCTTGACCGAATGTCTCACTTGCAGTTAATCCGAGAGAAAGGCCAGTGCAGACTCTGCCTGAACGTCCGGGCAAGCCCCAATGTCCCCTAGCCCAGGGGTGCTCCCATGTGCCCCTGCCCACTGTGTCCTCCACTGCTTTGGGCAGTGCTGGGGGGGCTGGGCTGCTGCTGGGGGCGCTTCCCACCTAGAGGCCCACGTACATGTCATCTGAGACCCCCAAGACGTGGCAGCATCCCTTGAGCTGAGACCTCAGGACCAGGCGTGGGTGAGATGACCGAAACCCTGGAGCTCTTGCGTAACTGTGCGGTGTGGGCATGACCTCAGCGTGGCTGTGTGGCCTGGAGCGAGTAGGCACCCATACACCTATGCCCCTGAAGGTCCAGTGTGCAAGCACGGGGCTTGGTGCGGCTGGGGGTCAAGGGTCAAGAGCCATGTTTATGTAATTTTGGATCCACCAGCACAGGACGTGGAGTCGGAGCAGAGAGTTTGGCAGCAGTGCCTCTCCTGTGCTGTTACCTCTGTTCGGCGATGCTGGGCACCTGTGGGTCCCAGTCAGTGGCATGGGGCTGTTCAACTTGAGCTGTGTAGGGGCCAAAGCCCTGAGAAGGGAGGGGTGGAGGATGACGAGTCCTCATTTCACAGGACCAGGAGGGAAGGGTTCCAGCCGTACAGGTCACGCTGTTCCGTGGGGGAGACCAAAGCTGGTCAGGCACACAGGACCACGTGTCCCAGGAGCTTGTCTGCTGGTTCGGGGGCACATGTGGCCGAATGCACGAGGCGTGGCCCGCAGCGGGGGCGTCTCGGGCTGACACGGCCTGTACAGCCGACACTGTGCGGGTGACACGCCATGTGGCCAAATGCATTTCCAAGCCTTATCCTTTCTGTCTCTCCTGGACATGTTTTTTTCCTCTCTGATTTTGTCCAGACAGCAGTTGCCCACCCACCCTGCCCCGCCAAGGCTGCGGTTTGTGCTCACTACACAGGGACCTACAGGGGGCCTGGGCCTTCCCATTTTGCTGTGTCCTGTGTCGGGCCGTGTGCCTGCTCTGGGCTCAGGAGGGGAGAGCTGTGTGCCCCATTCTGAGCATTTTCTTCCTGACCCTCAGAGCCACAGTGCCCCGAGCCTGGGGCAGTCACAGTGGGCAGTAGCGGCAGCCAGGTAGGTGTCTATTCCAGATGTCCTAAGGGTGATGGCTTGCTGTCACTTCTTTAAAAAAAAATAGTATTTCTGTGAAAGGCAGAATCACTGAGAGAAGGCTCCTCCACCTGCTGGTTCAGTCCCCAGATGGCCGCAACAGCTGGAGCTGGCTGGTCCAAAGCCAGGAGTGCCCTCCCGCTCTTCCAGGTGCAGGGTCCCAAGGATCAGCAACCAACCTGCTGGAGGCATGAGCACCCATGTGGCACCTGGTGGCATGACCCTCCTCAGAGGTCCAATGGCTTCCCTGGCTCTGTTGTTCTGGCCAGCTGGTAGGCGTCCACTCTAGTGGGCCCACAAGGGCTGGCAGCGTTTCTCCCAGCAGGATGGCAATAAGGACCTTTGGTGGTGCAGGGGCTAGGTGATCGCTTAGGAAGGCCCTGCCACACTGCTGGTCACAGGAACGCCCCTGGGAACTTCTGAGACATTCAAAAGAACCAATGGTGATGATCAGTGCACCCCGAGGAGGAGCTGGGCGGTGGAGTGGAACGAGGGGACAGCTGTGTCACCTGGGAGAGTCAGGCCCAGTGACCACCGTGGAGGCCCTGGTCCAGCACACACTGCTCCCCACGTCTCCGCTGGCCGCATCCACCGAGGCTGTGCTGACTGCACTGCGTGCCCATCACCACCGCCTGCTGGCCAGCTTTGATGTCCACCTGCCCTGTTAAGGCCAGACGCTTGCCAATCAACCACTGGGCATGAACACACATCAGCCAGAGCCAGGGTGCCATCTTACCCTGTCTGCCGCACCTCGCCCTTCCCGTGTGGCGGCCGTCCTGCGAGAAGCTGGGCAGAAGTGAGGGTCTCGGGAAGGCACAGGCCGGTGCTGTGGCACCCACACATCAGACTGGAAACTCCAAAGCCACATGAGCTTGCACTTTCAAACCAGCTCCAGAGGGCATGTGGGAACAGTGAGGCACAATTGACCTGATATTCACACAGGAAGGACGCGCGTAACAAAGACACCGTTTTCAA